AGTAAGTAAACCCGTTTAGACCCATCAGATTGCAAGATTCTTAGTACCCGGTATGCGGGATATAGGCCTATAAATCATATGATTGATTTTTATCTTAATAGTTTATCAAAAGTCACATTCTTCATGATTTAACTGGAAAAAAATACTTTATATGAGTGCATCCACTCTAATATCAATCTAACTTCGATGCTGGTGTGAAGAAATAAGAATCTTACGGGGAAAATAGGAAATTTATATCAATATAAAGAAAACGATTACTATTATTAGTGGATAGTGAGGACATGACGTCACAATTTCCAATTTGTCTTGTGATTTTCATTGTTCCATAGTTTTAGATCTAGACTCTAGACTAGATTCTAGATCTAGATCTACAGACTTTTTCAAAAAATCACAACTTAATTTCTTATTAAATATCCAATTTTACTCATACTTTTTTGATTGGTTTATTAATCTTTACAAACATTACAAATTAGCAAATCATTTGCATAGGTCTAGTCTAGGCTAGACTAGAATCTAGATAACGTTAGGGGTCTATTATTAAAAAATGAGAAAAATTACTGTAAGGTTTAGATTCTCCATTTTTTTTAGCTTTCCAAAGATAGTCTAGTCTCTAGATTCTACATCTAGACCTCTACTCTAGGCCTCTAGGCCCTAGACTAGATTCTAGATCTAGACCTAGATCTAGGCCTTTTAGTTTTAGTTTTAAAGAGTTTTATTTAATTGAAGTAAATCATACTTAGATCTAGATCTAGGTCTAAACTCAAAGCAATGTAATTTACTGACCTCCATCTTATCTTTGTTCCGCCGGACGCCAACAACAGGCTTGTCGTAGACTTCCCCAGTCCTCTTCGAACGTGCCGGTTCTCTACCGACTTTCAGGAAGAGAGCGTCGACTCCAAGTTCTTCGTCTCTAACAACCGTGTACTCCTCACTCTCGCTCGAACTAGGCTGGCTCTGGGTACCGGAAAGCGAAAGCGACCACAGACCTGTCTGCTTACTCTTTGCCGTTGCCATCTCGACGAAGGCGAAACTAACTCTGGCAAGTTCCGAAGTTAATGAAATCAAATTAAAAACGCGTTATAAAAGGAAAACGTAACAGATTATGGACATGCAACCGAGAATGACGACGTCGAATCGAAGAATGAAATGAAATCTGGCGCTGGCGCGTGTACCATACGTGAGACGACAAAGCTAAGCTCTAGCTGTTTACAAACAATGTACGCATGACTGGCCGGCGACCGGCCGCGCATGGCTATTGTTCTCTATAGCTCTCTCTCTCTCTAGGTTTGTTTGGAGCAGGGACTTGGGATACAAGTTCCTGGTTGTAGCTAGTCTGCAGACACAGACCCTTGGCAGCCATTATGAGTAAAAACAATGTCTAAATTTCAAACATGAAAGTACTGAGTTATGTCATGCAGCTGCTTCTGACACAGTGAAATACTGGAAAAGAAACATACCACATCAAGCAGAATCTGATTCTCCTGATTATTTCATGTGGTTTTATTCAAGAGTAAAGTTGAGTCTGTGTTACAGACTTGGTTTGAGATAGAACTGATAATCCCCGTGCGAACAATGGTCTGGGGAGAATATGGGTGTATAATCTCCCTGGTGTATGTAGTAAATGGGTGTATCATAATCGTAAATTGCAGACCTTTTAGCTATCTATCAGGGTGGTTACTTAATTTGCAAAAAGCCACCTTTCAGAAAGAAAACGTGCATTTTTTGCAGAAAATAGAAGACAAGACACAGTTTTGGGCTATGAAGTATAATTGTTTAATAATATCAGGGAACCAGCTGTGTGCGCGGTCGCAAAATATGAGCAATACTATCTTTAAAAAATGCAAATTCATGTATTAATTTCACTAAGACTCTTAAGAGCATAAATCGGAGGGAAAGTTGAAAACAAACGATATTAATTTTATATGTGTTTGATTTTTCTGACTTCCGTTGAATCTATCCGTGTTTAAAATTTGTAAACTTGGCAGAGTTCAGAATGGGCCTTAATTTGGACAGCATCCCATATAACGTTTATTATACGCATAATAATGCTACGGTCTTGATATGTAATTTCTTTCTTGTTCCCTGAAATCTTATTCGATGTTTTGTGGAGTTCATCGGCATGAGACACTTTCTTTAGTTGCAAACCCAGGCATGATGTGACCGATTCCCCATGAAGTGCAACCGTGAATCGTTCGGACAACCATGCATGCCTATATTTTAATAAATAATATAAACCAACTGCAATTGTGTACGAACATGTAAAGACATGGCCCCTAACCGAAGATAGGCCTAAATACATTCGATATAATGAACTTCACATGATTGTTGGTAAATAATATAGTAGGCCTATATCATTCATAGCAATTTTTGGTTTCATTCCAAATCTATATTATCGGCCATAATTATTATGGCCCATACAAGCTATGGACGAACCAGTAGCGAATGGTATGTCTATTGACCGAGAAGAATTTCTCTTTTTGAACTTGCATTTGACGAGCATTGCACGTACCGAGACATAACGTCCTTGTTTTCAATCGTAACGCAAAGTGAATTCAATTTTTTTTCACTACCGTCACTTCGTGAAAAGTTTGAACACGACTTTGCATGAGATTCCTTGCAAAATCTAATGATGGGTATATAGTTTTCAAATTTTACTGTTCATACAGGATATACCATTTTCGCCCATTTTGATGCTAAATTAGTACACATTTTAAAACAAATAATTATTTTAAAAATGGCCCTATAGGATAGGTACGGGTTTGGCGGCTTCAGCGGCCCCCACGCGCCCCCGCCGTAGGCCTATAATGGTTTTTAGGATTTTGTTTTTTTATTCATGCAGCACTGTCACCAAATGGTGGGGCGCGAATGGCGGCTCAAGAAAGATTGACACATTTTCTATGAGCACTTTTCGTCGGGTCAGGGGGGGGGGGGTGTACGGCGGGCTGGTCAATGTCCCCCTGGATCCGCCAAACTTCTTCAGGTTTCCCCGAGTCCATGTGATCGCCGCCCCCGCACGGCGCCCCTGGTTGAACTTGTATTCATCTCTACTTCATTGTGCGGTTTATAATTATGTTTTATTTTGAGTTAAAGAGCTAAAGAGAGAGTTGGGTTGGGTTTTGCGGCTTCAGCGGCACATCCCGTCTGATGTGTACTAAATCTGAGTATCCCCCCCCCCCTCGGGTACCCATCACAGAACATCATGAGTTACATCTCTTAGCCTGTCAATAGGCTGTATATAATATTGGAGGTACTATGGGAATTGGAATAGCACCGGCCGACGGGGGCTGATCAAAGATTTCCCAATAATATGAATAAGACGCCCTGAAATTTGAAAATCACACAAATTCCAGGGATTCCTGCAATTTGCGGCTGCCGAAGCAGAAGTGACAATTAATCATAAACAGTAATAATCAAGCTCAGTGGCGTACAGGGGCGTCTCCAAAAGGGGGGGTGTGGGTGTGCGACACCCCCCCCCCCACCTGTCAGGATATTGTCGGTGAAATTGCGCTGCCGTCGGGAAAAAAAGGAAAAGGGGAGGGGGAAAAAGAGAGAGAGAAAGGGAAAGAGAAAAAAAGGAAAATAAAGGAAAATAAAGGAAAGAAAGGAAATAAAGGAAAAGAAAGGAAAGAAAAGAGAAGAAAGAAAGAGAAAAAAGAAAGAGAGGAGGGAGAAGAAAGAAAGTAAAGATAGAAAAGAGAAAAAAGGAGAAGAAAAAAAAAAAAAAAAAAAAGAGAAAAAGGGAAAGAAAAGAAACGGGGGTGAAAGAGAGGAGAGACCGAGGAGATCGAGAAAGGGGAGAGGGGGAGTTAAGAGCCTGAGAGAGGAGTGGGAGTAAAAATAATCGTTAGGCTCTACACCACCACCCCTACACTGAAAAAGGTCTAGCGACGCCCCTGGTGGCGTACGCATGATTTTTTTCAAGGAGAGGGGGGGTGGGGGGTTAACATTTTCAAAGTCAGGCCGAAAATATCACAACGACTCAGTCAGCCGCTGAATAAGCGGGGGGGGGGCACGTTCTTCCTCAATTTTCTTTTAGAGGGGGAAGGGGGTCGGGGGTCGTCCCCGCCGGAAATGATTTTGAAAAAGTGCACACGAGAAATGTATAGCAAATACTGACTATGAAAGACTGCAACACACTTTTAGGCTCTAGCAGGAGGGCCCAAGAATGCAGCATTCAGATATTATAATTATAGGCCTATAGATATAAAAATGCAAAAATCTTTTCGCTCCCTCGCATTTAAAATGTAGGCCCACAAGTAAATATAGGCCTAGTAGAAAATCTGTATAGGCCTACTCCGTTTGTATCACCGCATGATACCATCGGAATACAGATTTTCCTTCACATATTTGGTCCCCCCCCCCCCCCCCGGCCCCACGGCCATGAAATCGCTGATGGTAGTAGTAGTAGTAGTAGTATAGTAGTAGTAGCAGCAGCTACTTTTTCTTTTTATCACCAAGGGCTTATTATTGTGCCAAATCGATGTCATGTACATGCAGGCAGTATGTATATTATCATATAGGCCTATTTTATTACGATGTTGGAAATTAAGAAAAAGAGAGTCTGGAAAAATAACGCCTTTCTCAGTTGCTAGCTCGTTCACAAATTGTGGTTTGGAATATGAGTTCTATTAGTAACTGTAAAACCATGGAGCTAATACATGCACGTTTTGATCAATTGAGGGTCCGGTTTCTCGAAACCGTCATAACACGCGTTTTTAATTTTAGATTTTTATGACGGTTTCGTGATACGGGGGCCGCCATAGGGTCAGCTTCCACCTCACACCATTTTGGATCCCACTCGCAACGACCATTTCCGTAGAGATCAGTGTCAACGACCCGTACACCGTACACACACACACGCACACACCACCACCACCACACACACAAGTTCAACACCGGTCAGGCTTACGCTTTGTATTATACTAGATATACTGCGCACGTGTAGTTAATTTGTATACAAAGCCGTGTACGCGTGCAGTTCTACTTTTGTTTCAATAGACCAAGGAGTTACTAGGTCACACCGCAGCTCAGTGCAAATTTGTCAGTCTAATTCTCGATCGAGATCACACTTCTTGATGTTATTTTCTCTTGCTGAATGACAGTGACATCTCACGATTGCAATGTTGGCTCAGTCTAAGAAAAAAAGAATCTACGACGGCGACGAAGCACGGCATCTTTTCGAAGCTCTTTATTTTACAGAACCTGCAACAAGTGCTGATGATACTACGGTCGAGCAGCGTACAACAGGGCTTAGCCCTGACAGTGACACATCTACTAGCCTTGACAGTTCCGACTCTGACACTGAGCTGAGTATTGACGGTTTGACATCGTCTCCGTGTTCGAGGACTACAACAAGCAACGTTGCCAACGATTCACAAGGCAATGCCGGTGTTAAAAACAAGGTATGTCTCCACTTCATGACTTGTACTCGGGGGTTAGATTTCTAGACCTGGCTAAGCTAGGCTAGAGCCTAGATAGAGGTCTACTACTAGTCTAGATCTAGATCTAGGTAGTCTAGACTATAGATCTAGAGCCTAGAGGGGGTTAGTCAGTTAGTCAATACCGTGTGAGTCAAACAAAATTTACACCTAGAAAATTGCTAATTATTAGATCTAGATCTAGATCTAGATCTAGACCTACATGTAGACCTAGGTCTAGTATGAAATTGAAAGAGTGTTTATCCCAAATCATTTGGTATCATTTGGATCCGGGCTAACTCGGACCAGGGGACAACTCGGCCCAGCTGCAAAAACTGTCATTTTTGTAATTTTACCCTAACTCTAACCCTAACCCTAACCCTAAACCTAACCCTAACCCTAACCCTAACCCTAACCCTAAACCTACACTGGGCCGAGTTAGCCCGACTCCCATTTGTGTGTGGTATGTCACGCTTGGATGAACAGTGATGCCTACAGTAGGCTATGTATTATGTGAGATTAGCGGAGTGAGAGAATGAATTGAATGTATCAAATGAAATGCATTGCAATGATTGCATAGACCCTAATATGCTTTTGCAGGAGCAAAGTCACACACATACGAGCGCACAAATTTTTGTTGATATTCGATATTTGTTATGTGTGGCATGCTCTTAATTTTGTTAGGGATGTTATTTGGATCTGCAAAGACCGAATTAATACCCAAATCCCAATTGTTTTATTCAAACATCACATAAGCAACTTTGGCGCAAGTCAATTTTTGCACTCTCACAAACAATGCCTCCTGTTAGAATAATAATCCAATATACTATAGGTCTATAGGCCCTAATTCATATTATTGAATCTTTAGTGAATCTATACACTTAGATCTACATGTACATGTAGCTCTAATTGTAGACCTACATTATCTTCATGGAGGAAATTTACAGAATAGAGTATACTATACACTGTAATTTTTTTAATTTTAAGTATTGATATTTCTTTATTTTTTTTTGTAGGTGAGACTTGAAGTTTTCAGTGAAAACGGCTCTACAGCACGAGCGGAGAAGGCACATCCTCCAAGAGATGAGCCCCAAACAAGTGAAGCAGAACTTGAAGCAAGTATGTGCACTCTATATTGATTAGTGTAAATTTTAAATTTACTTTACTCTAAAAAATAATAATAATAATACCATGATAAAATTCAAAAATAAGAAAAGAAAGGAAAAATGAAAAATATAAACAATATAAAAAATACAAAATAAATACAAAAATACAGAATACAACAACAACAAAAAACTAAAAAAAAAAAAAATTGTTTCAATGATGTTATAAAATCAGAATTTCCATTAGTCTATGTAATTATACTACATACCGTACATGTCCATGAAGATATGTATGTAGACGTATTTGCCTTTTACCCTTGGAAGCATGATACAGTGCAAGTATTGGTTAACAAACCAAACAAAATGTTTTAGTTTTGGTAGTAAAACAAGAAGACTGGTATGAGAAGACTGATTAAATATAGTCTCAAACTTTCTGCCTTGCGTAAAGATACAGTACATGCATGAGAGCATAGGATATTCCACTCCTGATTTCCGGTGAATTTTAGTGTATTTATGTCAGGGCAATATATCGGCTTTTACTAAACACATGAGGCTCTGTGCGCTGGAAAACACTCTATTTTTTTAATGGTGTCTTCAAATCGGCTGTACCCTGGGGAAAATTTTATATTATTTGATATTTTTTATCGACTGTTCTTTTTTCAATTGTCTTAAAAGGGGCAAAGAAAAAAATTATCAAAGATGCTGAAATGTTGCGATTTTGTTTTTAAATGAGAGAAAAAGGAAAACCAGAATTAAACCTGAAGTTAGGAAAGAAAAAATATTATATGAATAATGTGGATTTTAAGAAAAAGTGTATTTCTACAAGAAAAAAAACAAAAACGGCCTATTAATAGTTAGCAAGGATTTTGTTTTAATGGAGAGACAGAAAATAAGATGGATTGAAAGAAATTGACATTGTAATGAAGAACTAAAATACAAAGAAGAATCAAATTTAAAAAATATAGAATGATAGGGGGAAAATGAAAGATACTAAGATAGACATGAAGAATTAAGAAACTGAAATAATTCAAATGCTAGATTCAACAGTAATTGATATTAAGACAGAAATGAGAGATATATATTTTGATTTGATTTGATTTTTGTTTCCACTCTTGTTTTTCTTTAACAAATTACAATAAGTCATACATGACACAATCATAACAATTAGTTGTAAATTATAATAAAAAATGAACAATTTGCATGAGAATAATACTGAAGTCAATGAATTGTAAGGAATTTTATAATATTTATAACAAAAGTGGTGGAACCTAATTTAGAAGCAATGCTTGTATAACATATGTGCCAAAAGATAAAAAAAAAAGAATTATACTTATAAATTTGTTCACAAAAATAAAATGAGCCCAACACTGATTTTCAAATCAACTAAGAGATACATTAAACAAGACAACTAAAAACAAACAATTTAACAATTGAAAAGAAATGTGAACAGTTAGGAGATTATAAAAAGGAGATGTAGGAAGATGTGAAGAGAGAGGGAGGGGGGGGGGGGGGGGCAAGTCTATCAATTTTGAAAATGAGTTTTTGTTTGTTTAGTAACATCTTTTTATTTTTGTTTAAAGCTGAACAAGCTTTGTGGAACCTTTAGCCTACATGTATAAACATTCAATGAATTCCAGAGCTTAGTGCCAGTAAAAGTAAACATTTTACTTGCAAAAAGAGTTTGTGTTAAAGGTATACGGTATAAATTGGATTGTGTTTTTAGATATTTGTGAATGGTGCTACATTTGTATTTTGAGTGAATAAGTTTGTAAAAATGTTTGGCATTTCTTGTTCGTTGTATTTATACAGACAATTTTCTCTTGAAGTATACATGTATACATGTATATAGTTTTGTTTTATTGTATTGAAATTGTCTTTTTTATTTTTGGTCACTTCACGGTACATTGATATATTTGACAAATGATTCACACACCAGTGAAAATGAACATTTGATTACCTATTACATTTAACGTTAAAAAAAATCTTTCTTTCCTTATCTGACAATGGATACCATTGGGCCATGCCCTGCCACCTGCTGTCATGGGCAGCTTTTTTCTCATTGCGTATAGCAATGTATCTCTCCATTTTATACAATTTAATTAATAAGGAAATGAAGTTGGAAATATTTGGTTTAACTTATTTGCATCTATTCAGGTAAATTGTTTTATTTGCAATTATTAAATATATGATTAAAAAGAATATAATTCTTTGTCAGTATAACAAGAATTACATTTTTGGGGGGTTAAAATCAAGAAATCAAACATAGTCTGCTCTTTTCCGAGCTGATTCCAAAAATCTTGTACTATTGTACATTTCCAACAAAAATGTTCAATCGTTTCACTGTCTAGGTCATAAAAAGAACATAATGGGGAACTAATGACTATCATTTTATACAGTTTATAATTCAAATTCAGAATATTATTTAATACCTTGAACTAAAATTCTCTGTAAATTACATCAATTGTAGTTGACATAATACCTGGAACGAGCGAATAACAATTCTTTATCTGAAACATCATATCTATTCTTTAGTCTAAACGTACTGACTAGGCATTCATATTTCTCTGCGACCAACAGGTCATAAAATTGTTTGCTTTTTATTCTGTTAAAAAATATCAACTAAGGGGTTAGAATAATATGGGAAGTAATATCGTTTTTGAATGAATTTGTATAAACTATTTTAGGAATATTATTTATCTTTGATAACGAAGAGTACACTCCCTGTATCCTAAAGTAATCATTTGCATCTAGTTCAAATAACCTTTTCATGTCATCTTGTTCCTTTAAATTGCCCCCTTTTGTGAGGATGTCACTAAAAAACACCATTCTTTTAATGAAAAGTTTTCGAAAGAAAATCATATCTGAATTGACTTGTATAATTGTCTTTTGTCCCAAATAATCTGGAATTTCGTACTATCCTACCTGTTTCTCACATTGAGAGAGTTCCATCTTTCTAAAATAGCTTGATAGAACTTAGGAATGTTTTTGTCTAACATTTTATGACTATAGTTACAATAGAACAGGAACAAACCACCGTTCTTTTTAAGATAATATTTAAGAATTTGAAACCATCCTTGTTTATCGGCTTCTTTTATTCTTTGAATCCAATATAATTGTTGTGCGCTGGCAGATGACTGAACATCTACCATCTTACTTCCTCCCTTTGACAAATCTTGGATCATTACATTCCTTCGAATGTTATCAGGTCCATTCCAAATAAATTTGAAAAACATACTCTCCATTTTCTTTAGGAACCAGTCTGGCAATAACAAAGATGAAACAAGTACATACATTTTGATATTCCAAGGGATTTGATAATTTGTATTTTTCCAAAAGTTTCTCATTTTCCACATATTTAAAGTGACTTGTAATGATGATAATATTTCTTCTGCTTTTTTAACCTGCGCAGAATATGATCCGATACCTACATAAGTACCAAGTACATTAATAATATTAACAAAATTCAGGCTGTGTTGAAAATCAGCGTCTGGTACATATCCAACTTGCAGTATTTCTGTCTTACTTAGGTTTATAGTTAAACTGGAACATTTCTCGAATTGTTGGATAATATCAAATAATGAATTAAGCAATTTTACATCTGAACAAAAAGAGCAAAAATCGTCTGCATACATAGACAGCTTTAATTCACTCGTACCTACGACTACTCCTCTTATATCTACTGAATGTCTGATAAGTAATGCAAGTGTTTTTAAACAAATTATAAACATGTAGGGAAAGAGGGGGTCTCCCTGTCTTACTCCTCTTGTAATCAGAAAATATCCTGTAGATTTTCCATTATTTAAAACGCAACCTTCTACATTTTCATACAAAGCTTTTACCCATTTAATAAAAGATGCTCCAAAACCGAAATAAAGTAAACATTGAGTCATGTAACCATGGTCTAAAGAGTCAAACGCTTTCTTAAAATCTACGGAAGCAATGAATCCTGTTTTTTGTTCAGTACAAAGAAAATGGAAAAAAAGTACATTTCAGATAGCTTCTCCTATTGCCCTCCCACGTAAAAAAGCATACTGATCGGTGTCAATTATTTCGTCTAAAACTTGTATTATTCTATTCGCCAACACCTATAGTTGATCAAGTTGAACTTTCAAAATGTTTCCCCAAGCAAGAATAACATAAGTAAAATATGATAGGATCAATGTAGAATATAACATGAGGAGAGTTGAAGGTGGAAATTCATATTTTTATTTTTTGATAGTTTATGTTTTGGGAAATAGTTTAACTTACTTTGCCTATGAGAATTGTTTAAGATAATTGCTCATCAATTGTAAAACCTAACAATTTAGTTGAGTTGACCTTGTTAAGAATAGCATTGTCAATTATTAAGTCGCAAGGGAGATTATGAATAATATAAATTTATAATTGACAATTTGTTGGATTTAATCCACTGTGAAACATTTTACAATTCAGATATTGCAGTTCTAAGAAGAACATGTGGGTCTGGGTTAGATATGAAGGAAAGCAAGTATGAACAATGTTGAATATCATGAATGTAAATTAAGTAAAGTAAAATATATATATATGTACCAAAAAGAAATTACATTATACAGCAGAAAGAAGGAGAATAAAGGAAATTCCATATGTACATGTACATGTACTGTAGATAGTTGAAAACTGAATGAAAAGGAAAAGAGAAGAATTAAAATTACACTTGATCGGATGGAAATAATATCAAAAGAGTTTTGTTAAAGGTTGAGATGTTGGATTGATGGGAAATAAAAATATATGGAAAGAGGAATACAGAAAAATCAAATATTATAGGCATGTACAGGTGTATGCAAGATTACCATAGCATTCACAATTGACATAAAAATAGAAAAATATGAATTCCAAAGAATAATATCAGAATAGAGAAGAGGAAAGAAGCTGAAAATAAATTTATAGAAAGAGCTAAAGATATCAAACAAATGTTTTAAAAAAGATTGTTGTAACTGTAAGAAAACAAAGATGTAGATGATAGAGGACAATGAAAAGAAAAATCGTAATAAATGAAAA